AATGCCTTTGAATGCTCAATGAAACACAGATAGACATTCCACTGGTATTATCAACTTTCATCCAATATCTATCTGACATTGGCTATTATTTCCCTGGTGCCATGATCTCTTTTAAAACGAGCTTGTATTTCTGACAGTTGTTTGTCCATTTTCTATTTCAGTCATTTTTTTTATAATCTTCACTAAGATTTGCTTGAGTGTAATATTATAATATTATTTTATCATTTTTGCACTCTGTTAGATCATATTTCTTGGGAATAGGAATAAATATGTATCTCTTTCAGTCAGTTGACCAGGTTTCTCCAGATTTCTTGGTACAACCTGATGAGCACATCCAGGGCGACATCTGTTTATTAAAATGTGTCAATTGGTATCCCATGAATTCTTGGGGCATTGATTTTGACCATTTCCTTCAGAGAAGCTTGAACTTCCTTCTTCAGTACCATTGTTTCTTGATAATATTCTGATTCACAAAATTCTTCTTTGTCCGCCGATTCTGTTGATCCAGTGACTCTGTGTACTCCTCCCATCTTCTTTTGATGCTTCATGGGTCATTCAATGTTCTGTCCTTACAATCTTTAAGTATTGTACTTCAAGGTATTGAATTTTTCTTCAGTTCCTTCAGTTTAAGAAATGCCAAACAAGTCCATCCCTTTTTATTTTCTAATCCCTGCGCTTTTCACATTTCGTTATAATACTTTTGTCTTCCTGAGCTACCCTTTGAAATCTGTTCAGCTTCTTAACTTCCTGATTTTTTCCTTTGCTTTGGCTTCTCAGCATTCTATTGCAATATTCAGAATCTATTCTGATATCCATCTTGGTCTTTTCTTCCTCCTCCGTTTTGGCAAGACCCTTTTGTATTCATCCTCGACGATATTCTTGATATCCTTCCACAGCTCATCTGATGTTCATTTATTAGTCTTCAAGGCCTCAAGCCTGTTCTTGAGATGCTTTTAAATCAAGATGTGAAAGATTCAGAATCATATTTTGGTTATTGTGGATTTGCTTTCATTTTCTTTAGATTCGGTATAAATTTTCACATGAGTAGTTGAGTCATTGTATCAAAAGGAATTGACAGACATAGAAGAATTTAATGAGATAACATATAAGCAAGAGCCTATGGTGATGAAGGAGAAAGTTCAAGCCACTCTGAAGAAAATAGCAAAAAATAAGGCCCCAGGAATAAATGGTATACCAA